ATTTAAGTTTAGCACTAAACTCACATATCTTCTTTCCTCTTTGACAGTTGAAACATTTAAAACTGGGGGTGGCCAAGTGGCTTGTCAGTTAAGCTTCTGACTCCGGTTTCCACTCAGGTCATGATCTCCTGGTTCATGAGTTTGAGCCCCACGTCAGGCTCTGTGCTGACAGTGCAGAGCCTGCTTGCGATTCTCTCTCCCTTTCTCTCTGCCCCTCCCCTACTCATGGGCACATAATCCCTCAATAAATTAATTAATTAATTAATTAATTAAATAAAAAAGAAACATTTAAACCTAAGAACTTGCATTGACATCGTCATCATATTCCATGATAATATTTTAATATTTATTGTATCCTGCGTGCTCTCTTGCTGTGTTCATTCCTAACAGTGACAGTAACCCAAACGAACTTTGGCAGGATGTCTTTAGCGCTAAGTTCTTTTCAGGGCGCTGAACAGAGAAGCTCCAGAACTTCACTTGTTCCCGGTTGGTACCACCCTCCCCGCCCCACCCCTGCCCATTGCCCAGCCAACTCAGAATCCATGACGAGGATCTGTGCTGTAGGTTAAAAAGAAAGAAAGAGATGGCTCCCTCGTTCAGAATATGTGCCAAAGGCGCAAATCAGATCTTTCAGACACGGTCTAAGCAACTCGTCCGCAATGAACATAGTGTGAGTGAGGAAAGGAGCCCAGGGAGAGCCCGGGAGGCCCCTCCACGGCCCTCCCTCCTGCTCCTGCCTTCTCCCTCCCCCTCCCCCTCCCCCAAGCACCTGCCTGTCCTTCCTGTAAACTCCATTCAGTTGGACTGTGCTCCACATATTAGCTCCATAGATTCTTTACTCTGATTAGGAGAAAGTACTCTACCCAGTGCCGTGTCATTGAACAGTACTGCCAGTTTTAAATTCCTTTTTTCAACCTGGTATATTACATTGAGTTTGTTATACTTAACCAGCAAACCCAGCAAAGCTAAATATTTTCTAAGGATAACACAAATGGCATAATACATCACCTAGATTTTATTTTATATGATTAAAAATAACATCAATTAGTATATATAAATGTATGATTTATAATTAAATCTCCTGGTTTATGTATCATAGAAAAGAATAAAACACCTCTCTTCCAAATAAAGTTTTATTTACACCAAGGTAAACAGAACCACAGGCACTTATCTGTATGTTCCTCACCGGCATGCAAGGTATTTTGGGAAAGACTATCTGCATGAATGAGTAGGAAGCTTTTATGGAGACAGCATTATAATTTTTTTTTTATGTTTTATTTATTTCTGAGAGAGAGAGGCATCATGAGCAGGGAAGGGTCAGAGAGAGAGAGGGAGACACAGAATCTGAAGCAGGCTCCAGGCTCTGAGCTGTCAGCACAGAGCCCGATGCAAGGCTCAAACCCACCAACCTTGAGATCATGACCTGAGCCGAAGTCAGACGCTTAACTGACTGAGCCACCCAGGCACCCCTGCAGACAGCATTATAAAGGTAGGGCATAATGTATTCTGATCCTTGATGTGGACCCAGTTTTATTTTAAATAGAGAACTAAAACTGATGTCATTTATTTAAAATTATGCCAAATCCTTACATTTATTGATTCTTTATTTTTGAAGGTCCTACCATATTTTAGAAAATATTTAAAGTAAATTGATGCATATCAGAAAAGAGCTACCATCAAAGCCCATTGAATGTTATTGCTTAAAACACTTAGTGTCTTTGCTTTGCTGCTTTGTATATCAAATCCTCAAATGTTTACCAAGATATGCACTAAGTGATTAGAGAGATTTGGCAAATATTACTGAATTAATGAAACAAAGGTGGGAAGACTTGTCCATATTTATGGAAAAGTGTTACTCTATATGGAAACTGAGGCAGGGTACTTGGGTTCTGGGCTCAGCTCTGCCAGTGTTCAGATTTCTTGTGACCTCGATGGAAGTCAGTTAGCGTCACCAAGTCTTTTCTTCCTCAGTGGTAAAATGGGAATGAAACTTCCATCCCCACCCATTACACGGTGATGTTGCGATGATGAAATAAAGATGAATGTTTGAAAATGTTTGGTAAATGTAAACATAAAAGTATATATTCAGTACCTTTAATTTTGTTTTGTTACTATTTTACATTATATTCTTATGAAACGGTCAAATAACTAGAAAGAAATCAAAGAGTAGTATAACCAATGCCTGTACCCAACACCCAACTTTAACATATCATAAAATGATCCCCTATTTGCTTCTCGTCATTTGTATGAAATAAACCATTACAGGTACAAGTTGTACCCTGTCATGGTTTCATTTTCTTTCCTCTTTCTTAGGAATTCCACATTGTTTTATAGATGAGTTGTAGTAATTTGATCTTGTTCAGTTAAGACTTTCTACTCAATTTTTACAGTTCATACATCCAACAGTTTTACTCCAAGAATGAGTATATCCATTATGATGGCTTTTAACAGAAGAGCAAGCCAATCTCACAGATTTCCAGAAACACTGTATCTAGTCATGGTCAAGAAAACCTGTAATCAGACTCTATTTTTCTTGTTTTGTTCCCATTCTAGATGTTAGTTGGTGCCAAGCAAAAATAAAGAAGACATCCTTTTAAGTACATTTATATGGTGATAAAGATAAGCTCATTGAAAATATTTTTTTCATGTTTTGGGGGATAGATAATCTAAGAACAAGAGCAATTTCATAACTTGATTAAAATTGCAATTGTAAGCAAATCTGGATGACAAATATGAATATTTACTGTAATGGGAATAAGGTTAATATTTTAAAACAAGGTTGACAGGAGAAAAATTGTCTTAGTTTGCAAAAAGGAAATTTGTTTCTTTAAGTGAAAATTGAGGTCAGTAGGCCATAGCTCTCCTAGCTCCTACATGACTGAAATGAATTAAACAATGCAGCAGTAAAGCAGTCCTGAGCAAACTAATGGCAAAATTATACTGAGAGCTTGAGTAAAATCATTATATGTTAGCAACATGTATAAGAAAATATGAAATTTTAAATGCATGTCCACTTCACTTCGATTCTCTTAGGATAGAAAAACTAAGTTCTTTTCTCTTGTGTTCATTAAAATCTCATGGTCCTTTCGGGGGAGCAAGGGTGATGACCACCATTTGGACATATTCCAGTTTGGGTTGCTGCATTCTGTCTGCTTATTGTGATTTCAGTGTGACTGGGTTGTTGTGAAAGACTTGTTCCTTATACAGTAAAAGCACTATCCACCCCCGTATACTCTACAGAGGGAGCGTTATTTTGTAGAAGGTAAATGTAATTTTGTGCTATTTACTCCTCTAGATTCTCTGAAGTGAAATAATGGCAGTAACTTTGCTAATCATGTACTGTTTTCAGGGCATTGAGATAGATGCCCTGTATCCACTATCTAGTCCATAAGAACCCTTTGAAGCGGACCTAGTTTTCACTGTTTTATAGATGAGGAAACAGGCTCAGAATGGTTCTAGAACTTGACCACATTGGCCAGGCGGATAAGTGGCAGTTATTATATGCCAGCTCCATATTTTCAGTAGTGACATTTTTGGTAATATATTTCTAATATATTAATATTTGATGTGATCTTGCTACCACGTACATGCTGAATCTTATGATTCGTGACCTTAAACATAAATGGTCCTGGGAGCCTGCTTTTAGTTGGCAGAATGAATAGGACTTTAAGCCTGTTCTATGCATTTATATAAACTGAGACATGCATAGAAAGCTGTATTTGGCTCTTTTGATTCAGTGTGAATGCTAGCAGCTACTCTGTGGAAACTGTGAGTGAAAAACACTAATGAGTATGAGGTATATTTACTATATAATTATTTATTTACATGGCATAGGCTGAACAAAGTGTTAACCTATACATATTACATGTAACTTCACTTCGAAGAGTTCTGTGTAAAGTGGGCATATTGACGTGGTGATCTACATGATAGCAAAACATCTAATTCACAGAAATTATTTATCAGGGTGTGATTTTTATTACCAGTCTTCATTCTTTAGTCGTTTATGTCAAGTTATATAATATAAACATGACCCAAGTTGTGATGTTCTCAGTGGGTTGTATTTATTCATCCGGGCTTTTTTCCAACGTCACAAAAGGCAGAAATACATTCTAGCATCTGAAAATACTAGTTTTATCCTATGACTCTCTTCATACATATTGGTTCTCAGAGCACAAGAAATGAAATCAGCACCTAGTGAGCTTTACAGGAAAATTCTTTGAACATAAGGGATTGTGATATCAATAAACTAAATTGAAAAGTATTAAATTTCTGATATGATACAGCCTCTCTGTGGACAGAGACCAAGGTGGTCTTAATGTTGCTTTTCTTCTGCGCCCATATTATCAAAGTAACCTTTATACACGCACTCTATGGATGACATTTACACTTTGTTGCATTAATATGAAATAACATGAATTGCATGTGTGAGTGGATTACTTTTAATTGCTGTGTAAAAATGATACGTAATTGAAACAAAAAGCATTGTTTCCAACCCTAATTTTTTTTTTTCCTCAAGTCTGTCCTGTCAAGCTGAAAGCATGAAAGTTATTTTCTGGCGGTGTGATTAGATTGGGGCTGGGCTCTCCAGCTGGCGGGCCTGTCTCTGACTGGCGGCGGCCTGTCCCCAGTGCTTGTCATTTCCTGACATGCCTGACAGGAACGGGACAGCCGCCCCAGACAGGTTCATTAGATGGTGTTTTCTACAGCTGGGCTAAAAATAAATAAATAAATAAAAAGTCTGTGCTTTGTCAAGGCCCAAGCTGTAGGGGCCCTTCTTGTTGGTTTAAGCCAGGGCCTTGTTTTGACAAATTTTGATCTGTGCGGTTTTTAGATTTTTCTGACACATTTTTGTTTCCTTCCCCTTTGGCCTGCACTTTGTGCACCCTGCCTTGTTGCTGCTTCAGAATCCTAACATAGGCTTCCCAGGAGACAAAAAAGAACCATAGGTATTGAGATCTTCAAAGGAAAAATAGTGTGATGCTCTATAAAATAGCAATAATTTATTTCCATGGCAATCTGCACAATGATAGGAAAAACAGTCTTGGGACTTGGGATAAGCCAATTACAAGAAAGGTGAAGAGTTTTTTTCTAGTGCCAGAAACGTGCCATCTAGGTGAGAACATAGTATCATTACTAGCAGTCTACACTCTCAAATGTATTGCTCTTTAGAACTGCCAGAAATTTAAGCAGTCTTCATTCTTGGGCTTTTAGGTAAGCTGACAGAGTTTTCCGCCTGTGCTGATGGGCTTTGATGTCAGGAAGAGAAGTTAGAGTAGATTACAGAATACCTGCTAATTAAAATCAGAAATAAATTCCAAAATCAAATTTAGAAATGTTTTTCTTTGTCAACGATAGGGGCACTTTTAAGGTTAACTGGATTTGCCAAAAAGTGGTGTGCACGTGAGAGTCATAATTTATCATTTTCACTCCCACATTTAAACTTTTAAAACTGTAGAGCTGGAAAGGGAAGGAAACAAATCTGTAGCCAAGAAATTATTCTTTCCGGGTTGTACCTGCGATTAAAAAGTAGATATTGACGTCTTTACTTTATAAACTTGCTAGCGATAGTCTTTGTAGTATGGTACTTTTGGATCGCTGTTTTCCGTTGGGAGAAACATTTGATCTTTAATTTGTAGCCAGTAGAACATACCCAAATAGGAAACATTTGACCATATATGTTGGCATAACCTTATTGCTACTGTTAGCTATCTTTCCATTCACATGCAAGATACAAAATGCAATACTGTTTGTGTCTCTCGTACTTTGTCATTGGTGTAATAAACAGTGTTGCCGAAAAAAAGCAAGCTCCTCATTCGCAGAAGGCTTAGCCCTTACCTTTCCTTTGTATTGTTAGTTTCTGCCGGTTTAGTTCCCCGTCTCTATGACAACTGTTTAAATTGGGATGGGCAACTGTCATCTGGAGCATTACCGAGAGAAAAGTGTTAGCGAGCACACAGTTCCCATAGATAGAGCATTTCAATATAATCCAATTTTAATTGAGCTCCAGAGACTTTGATGTGCTGCAGAGGTTGGGAGGGAGCTATTCCAGGGAGAAATTAAAGCAGCCCAGCAAGGCTTCGCTCCTCCAGACTGTCACCATTTTAAGTAAGCATTAGCATCAGACTTAACCTGCCCCTATGGAACATCTCACTTCCTTCTTCAGCTTTTCACTGATTCATTTTGCCATATGTAAAGGCAAAGCACTTTCATCTTTTTATATATGTTTTTACACCCATTTGATTAGGCTTGAAAAGCTTGTACTGGACCTGAGATTCATCTTACGCTGTCTATTGGACTTTGCTTCAGTGGTTCATAAAAGAAAAAAAAAAGGTAGAGTAGGGATTAGTTTAAAATTGTCAGCTAGCATATATTAAACTTTTCTTTCAATATTACTGTGTAAAACCCTATATTGGAGCTAAAATGTTGAAGGTAGTATAATTTTTATTTAGCTTTGATTTACCATTGAATTTCATTTTAATGCCTGGATGCTTGTGCATTTATTAGAGGCCTCGATTTTTATTTCAAAATGCATTAAAATATCTTTTCCTCATCACGTGAAAAATGCCTTTCAGGCAAAGCTAGTTTAAAGCATCTGAACGCAGGCACATCAGTCCTTCATGAAGAAAGCATGAATCTTTTTTTTTTTTTTAATGAGGAGGAAAATGGATTTTTTTCCATCTATATTCAAAGATTTTTTAGGTATTTTGAAATATTAATGTTGAATATATATTAGTTATATTATTTAAAATAAAATGACATAAAACCACTATGTAAATTAAAACAATTAAAGGAACATTAAATATAATCCTTGTGGTGTCAAAAAGCTTTGTTAAGGTATGGTAAACTTAAGGAAGTTATTACCTGTTTAGGACAGACCTGAGATTTCTAATCTTATATATGTTGGAACATTAAAAAAAATAAATTAAAAGTGCATCTTGAGAAATTAAGTAAAATTATTACAGTAATTAGAAATTAGTTTAGTATATACACCATCAGAGGTACATCTAGATTTACATGTATGTATACCGTAAAGCTAATGAAGCTTAGGAGCCAGGGTCCTTTGGTCCACAGAGCCTGTGACAGATGGAAGTTTCTGAGAATTGTGTAGTAGGCTCAATTTACTCAACTGTTTTAAGAGATCTCAGAAGTACATAACCTTAATGTCCAAGGCTCTAGTATTTGTCGTGATTTTTTTTTCTCCTTCTAAGTTAACTATTCGCTTACGTAACATACTTAATTTTTATTTGTAACTTTGTGGTTTTTTTTCTTTAAAAATAACGTCCCAAATAACATAAGCTTATTCCATACTGTATTTACTTTATAGAATAAGTCCCCTCTCCCCTTCCTTTCCTCACCTCCTTCCCCTCCCCATCCCCATTGGTTGGCATTTCCTTCCCTTTTTTGGGTGGGGGGGGGGCGGATTATAAGCAATACTGCAGTGAAGAATCTAGTACATACTTCACCTTGCTTCATGTTCACAGGATAAATTCTAAGAAATGGAATTACCAGGTCAGGGATATATGTATTTGAAATTTTGAGAGATATGCCAAATTTTTCTCATTATAAGTTATACTAATTTATACTCCCACCAGCAATATAGTGAGTGACTGTTTTCCCCACAGCAAGCTCAGTATTATTAAACTTCTAGATTTTTGCCAATCTCCTAGATAAAAATAGTATGTCTGTTATCTCTATATAATTTTAAATCTTCTCTAGGTAAAGTTAATCATGTTTGTAATCAACAAATAGCTATTTGTACTATGTTTTCTGAGATTTATCTGTTTTTTTTTTATTATTTATTTATTTTTGAGAGAGAGAGCATACAAGTGAATGGGGGAGGGGCAGAGAGAGAGAGGGAAACAGAGAATCCCAAGCAGACTCTGCACTGCCAGAGCAAAGCCTGATGCAGGGCTCGATCTCATAAACCGTGAGATCATGACCTGAGCTGAAATCAAGAGTCAGATGCTCAACTAAATGAGCCACCCAGGTGCCTCTGTTTCACATTTTTTAAGCAAAATTTTACTGTTGTCGTATGTCTATAGGAGGCAATTATTGATAAATAGTACAGTTTGTCTCAGGTATGTGTTTTTGTGTATTAGACATCATATAAACTTCTATATATGAAAATTATATACATATGTATTTATCCCCTCTTTTCTCTATTTACCATCTAGATTAATTTGTTATTCCTCTATGGGACACCCTCCCAAATTTTAGTGGCACTAGTTGTGAGAGTAAGAATCTTTTCAATTTACCTACCTACCCAATAAGAACTTTTCTACTGTGCCATAAAAACAAAAATTGTTAACTGCCTGACATTATTTAACACATGATATAATTAGCAACATATATTAATGCATCATGGTACATTTACTGTGTAGAATTATATACTACAAGGGCCACCTTCTTTGTAAATTAGTTTGCTATGTGGATGTCTCTGGTTTACAGTTTTATTTCTTTACCCAGAGGTGGACATTGGAGAAACATGCAATATAGTTCTATAGAGCTACACACACACTTAGTATATGCCAGACGTGATGCAGGGAAGACATTCAGTGTTAATATGGGGTTAAGACTGGGACTTATAAATAGCCTCTATATCTGGAGAAAACAATGCTGTTAAGTTTACTTATATTATTAGTGGAGAGCAAAACTTTAATAAAAATGAGATATTTTCATTTTTTTAGTATGTTATTTACTGGCTATCATTTGTTTAATGTCGTCCAGTGTTGATACGTTGATTGTTCTTGTTGTTAACACATTTTATTTGCACAAGTTCATGTTTATATGAGTGAAAATGAGCATAGCGACTGCTTTATGTAGAGTCTGGGCTGAACCTCTGACCTTTTTCCCAATACTCATCTGCCAGTAACCGTAAACCTAGAATGTGGCGGAGAGCACCATTCACTCAGTCACTGGAGCCAAAAACTCTTGCAAAGATTGGATTTCTTTCATTTCTTTGTGTCAGCATGAAACGAAGTGAAAACACACAGGTCTTACCAATTCTGCCTCATAAATATGTTTACTTTCTTGCCCCTCCTCTTCCTCTCTTCAGCAATTGTCTTAGACTTTCTTTACTTCGCACTGGCATGGTTCAAACTTCCAATTTAGCATCCTTCCAAATCCTTCTCACCACTTTTAGAACAGGCTTTCTGAAATGCAGATTTAATCATATGTTTGCACGTATAGGAGGATTAGGAGGAGCTTAACGGAGGACCATGGGGGAGAAGATGGGGAGAAATGGTGGGGGAAAGGGAGAGAGGCAAACCATGAGAGACTCTTGAATGCTGAGAACACACTGAGGACTCATGGGTGTAGGGGGGGAGAGATGGGCAAGGAGGAGAGCACTTGAGGGGATGAGCACTGGGTGTTATATGGAAACCAACTTGACAATAAACTATTTGTAAAAAATAAATAAATAAATAAATAAATAAATAAATAAATAAATAAAATGCAGATTTAGTGCTACAACTACGCTCCTTTCAAGTGATCTCGACAACATCACAGTCATCGTTAGAGCTACCATTTATTGAGAGCTAAGTTTAAAGTCAATGTCGCCATTAATCCTTTTTGCAGTAAGCTCTCTGGAGAGCCTCTTGCCTATAGAAAGGTGACCTCTGGTATTTATACTGGAGACACCTGTTAAACACAGTAACCTATTTAATGTTTCGGGTTTTCTTTTTTTTTTTTTTTTTAGCAACTCAGTGAAATGGAATTATTATATCACTCAGTTATCAAGGCTTTCTATAAAGAGAAAGTATGTGCTGTGTAAAAGGAGAGGCCATCTTACTCTTGTTCGCTGGTGTATTTCCATCACCTAGCACAGCACCTGGAGCAACATCTAGTAGGTACTGACATTGCTCTCTGATGAATAAATGATATGTGATGCTAACAGCCTTTGCCTGGGGACAGAGTACTTGCTCATGATATTCAAATGAAACATAATAAAAGGAAAATTCTCAGCAAAATAGTATTCTGCTTGAAATAGCTTTACAACCAAGGACTGTAAAGTAAACGGTAGAAACAAGTATAGTCTTAGAACGTTATAGTAATAAAACAGAAACTCTGGGGTGGGGGGGGGGGCGGTAATACCCAAGCCTAGAATTACTGTTTTCATTGCCTTTACAAGTTGGGAGACCTCTAAAATCTCTTATTGACCCCCAATTGTAAATATTTGTGTGACATTCATGTACAGACAAGGAGTGTTTACTGAGCTGTTTACATTTAAATTAAATTGTATTTCTTGAAGAGCTATTAATTATCCCGTAATACAGAAAACTGAGAGTGGGAGTAGAAATACCATAGGAAGTCCTGTAGCCGAAATGTCTCTAGCTGAATCAGTAAGAAAAAAAAATTTTTGAAGATTAAACTTCAAACACAGCAGACAGAACACCCCAAGGCATCTACTACGAACTCTTGGAAATGGCCAGAGTTAGCTGAAGCACTGGGAGATGCAGAAGGAGAGTTTGGACCAGAGAAGTATGTACAGTGGAGAGGGACCTGAGCCAAGGCCCCAGCGGGGACTTGCTCTCATACCCGCTGACGGTTTCACGAAGGTCCTGGTGGGGAAGGGCCGTGAGTTCGTTTGTTCAACACACTGATGTACCTACCTTTGTACCGGCCTCTCCACTAGGCAACTCTATGTGTTGTTTCCCTTAATACAGCAACACAGTAAAGTGGACACGATCGTTCTTCTTTCATGTAAGTGGAAACTGTCTCGTTTATGTTAAGGAGCATTCTCAACTTACGCAGCTCTGAAGTGGTTGCATCAGACTTCAGTCTGTCTGTCATCCTCTAAAATTCAAGTTCTTTCTGCTCCAGTCTGGTGTACAGATTTATCAAAAGTTATCATAGTCCATCACACCAGGTGCTAATAAACTACACACTTTTTTGGTACATACTGGTAGTGTGGGAAAATGTGTCGGGTGTGGTGGCAGATACACATGAAAATAATCTCCAATCTGAAGGACTTGCTGAATGCAAATTCCCTACGTAAAGTAGGTTTCATTCTATAGCTGCTTTTTGGCAGAGAGTGCTTCTCGAAGAACTCGTTTTGAAAAAGAAAACTAAATTCTCATGAACCCCAATGATCCATCTGTGAGTCCCCAAGAGTACTCAGGTTTTCAAGGGAAAACATAAACTCTGCACTTGTATTTTCTGAAAATAGCTTTTGGATGCTAATTATCACTGAAAAAGAAGGCTTTAAAACTTGAAAAACAAGTCACATTCATATTGTCTTTCTTGTCCCTGATGAGCCTGGTATCTACGTGACAGATAGATACATAATAAATGTTAAATGTCTTTTAAGGAAGTGCCTTTTTTTAAATATTTATTCATTTTTGAGAGTCAGAGAGAGAGACAGTGTGAGCAGGGGAGAGGCAGAGAGAGAGGGAGACACAGAATCTGAAGCAGCCTCCAGGCTCTGAGCTAGCTGTCAGCACAGAGCCCAGTGCGGGGCTCAAACCCACGAACTGTGAGATCATGACCTGAGCCGAAGTTGGACGCTTAACCGACTGAGCCACCCAGGCGCCCCAGGAAGTGCTTTTTTGAGTACTGAGCTTAATAGGACTTGATCAGAAAGACAAGGACGGAAAGCTATTCTAGAGCATATACAAAGTATGGAGATGTTTGGTGTTTGCATATTTTAATTTTAATATACTTTATTTTTTAGAACTATTTGGATTTACAGATGCTTGAACAGCAGTACAGAGTTTCGTGTGTGTGTGTGTGTGTGTGTGTGTGTGTGTGTGTGTTATTAGTCAGGCTTTTTCCTTCTTCAAAGAACAGACATGAAGGTTACATCAGACAATAAGAGTTTTATCAGACAACTTTGAGCTGCAAGTAATACAAACCCTAATTCCAATAGTTTTACAGATGTGTATGTATTGTGTATGCATTATAAAATAGCAAGTCTTGAATTGTACTCGTCTCCAGGGTTGAATGATTCAGCTGTTTCTATATGTTTCCCAGAACCCAGGCTCATTCCCCGTCTTCATTCTGTCACCCTTGGTTTGTCCTCATTCTCACACTCATTGCAGTGTGGGCTTTAACATTTCCCCACGCCCGTGTAAGCCCAGGAGTATTCACGGAAGGAGAGAGTACCTCTTCCATTGGTTTCCTCTTAAATATGAGGACACTTTTACAAACTTGATCCACCCCATGGGGTCAGTGTGTCCTGACTGAGAAGTGCACAGAAGAGAAGTCAATAACCGAACACGATCAGGGTTCTGTTAACCAGGAAAGTGGCGGATGGGGGAAGCAGCGGGGGAGTCTGAGTGGGACAGTCATTGTGTCCACTACAGAGTTTACTGTAGGAGAGCGTGGTAATGTACAAATGGGAAATTCTCTTCAGGCCTTCTGAAAAACTGAAATTTCATCCAAGTTCCGTGACCCGGTTTTGTTTCTTTTTAAATGAACCTTCAGCCATAGACACCCATTAACATCACAGCTCCAGTTATTCTGTATCTTTATTTATCTTTTTGCTACCACAGACAGATTGACTCTAAATACACCTTTAATCCAGTCATTCAGCAAATTATTTACTGAGCTTTACAATGTGACAGGCACTGTGCCGAGCAGTAGAGGTACAGTAATAAGCAGAAACAAATGGTCAAAGAGTGGGGGAGATTACGTGAATAAAATAAATAAATAAACTTGCAAAATTATATTTGTGTTAAGTGCTGTAAAGAGAGCTTCTTTCATCTATGGTGTTATGAGAGTAGGTGATGGGGGGGGGGGGCGTCCTAGGAAGAGAGGTCAGTTGAAAAACTAAGAAGTAAAAAAGGTCAAGGATGAGTAGAAGTGGAGTAGGCAAATAAGGGATGGAAGGTATTTCCAGAGAAGAAAGAATATGTGCACTGGCTCTGTGACAGGAAACAGCAAGGTATGGATGAGATATTGAACGAAAACCAGTGAGTGGGGCTGGAGCCAGGAGAGCAAAGTGGTACCAGATGTGTGTGGTGCAGGAGATTGTTACATCTACCGCTAGACCCATCGTTTTTGGTCTTGGCTTCTGCTTCCTCAGAACTCCTGCTGCTTATGATTTCGGGTGACTACCTTCTCTGTCGTTTGGCTTTGTCCTGCCTTCCTGTCCCAACATCTCACATTCAAATCATTAAAGAGAGATTATTGAATCCTGGCAGCCAGCAAGCATTCTTGATAGTATGGTTCTGAAGGGATTTTCACAGCCACTAGCTGTGGCTCTCCTACTTAGATAACCTACTTCTTTAAAAAAAATGTTTTAATGTATTTTTTATTTCTGAGGGACAGAGAGAGAGAGAGAGACAGTGGGAGCAGGGCAGGGTCAGAGAGAGAGGGAGACACAGAATCTGAAACAGGCTCCAGGCTCTGAGCTGGCTGTCAGCACAGAGCCCGACACGGGGCTTGAACCCACAAACCGTGAGATCATGACCTGAGCCGAAGTCGGATGCTCAAGTGACTGAGCCACCCAGGTGCCCCTAGATAACCTACTTCTATAGTGGGTGTCCATCCTGGTCCAGTCCACCATGGCTGGATTTGTAGGGTCACCGGTAACTAAAATGGTAAAACAGGAACTTTTTGGGAGGGGACACCTTCCGTGCCCTGTCCAATACATTATGAATTGGGACTCAACTCTGAACTATCTTGATATGACTGCTTTTTTAATTAACATAGACCATATAAATTATACCTTTTCTGCACATGCGTGTTAATAAGTATCGGTCAACAAAGGCATTTCTGATTAATTACTACTATTAAATTATGGCTGTGTGCTGGGCTCTGTGCTAAGTATGAAAAATGCAGAGATGCACTGAGAATTTTTGCCCTCAGTGAGCTCACAGGTTAGCCAGAGACGCCAGCAAGTAAACTAATAATTGTAACGGTGGTTTGGTAAGTGTCACAGGTGGGTCCAGGGTTCTCAGAGGGAGCAGCAGGTGCTTCCAGTCCAGTCATTAATAGGACTTAATCAGAAGAACAAACTAAGGAGACATCCACCAGGCAGAAGAAACACCATGTGCAAGGACACAGGAGCATGACAAGAACATGACACATTTGGAAGCTGGAAAGTGTTCAGGATGGTTAGGATTTTAAGCACGAGGCATAATGCACACTGTGGCTAAATATGGGTTTTGAGGCTATGATTGATAATAGCAGTTAACACTTATTAAATATCTGCTGTGTTCCATAAGTATATACACATTATAGAAATAAACTCCATTATGATAAAAATTTTAAAAACAAAAATTTAAATTTAAAAAATTTAAAAATTTTTAAATAAAAAATTTTAATGCATTAAAAAGTTTCTCTCATAACGTCATTAGATCTCCAGTCAAAAGCAGTTCCCCTTTATGTCTAAGAATGATTTCGCTATTACAACAATGACTGCACCTGCCCCATCTAATCTTGTGTTGTTTCTGACAACACCTAAATCTTGACCATGAAATATATACAAAAAGGGAAAACAGTTCAGGCTAACAATTAATAGTATCCACAGATCAGACCCTAGTACCAAAAAGGTTCAAAGAAAAACCTGTAACCCAGAAATCCAAATGACCTCATATGGAAGAAAATAAAACCAAAAACAAGAGATGTATACCTATAACAAGTTTAAAACTTGACATCATACAAAACAGGACAAGGGAAGGTAACATAGTCAGTATGTAAATGAAAGTAAATTCTAGAAACCAGCAATAAGCTTCTTTCCAATAGTGTAGAGTTCTCCCTCCTCTTACCACATTCCTCCCCTTTGTTAAATAATTGCAGAGGGAAAAATACAAGATTTTAGAGTTTGCCAAATTTGAGAAAATGAGAAAACACAGCCAAATATATAATAGTTACACATGGGGACATTCATGAGTGGGACAAAAATGAAGCAACCTTGCCAATATCATTTTTTAATTTTGAGAATTTTACCCTAATTTTGAGTGTGCATTTGAAGATGAAGTAGGCACAGAGGACTCCAGCTGCAAGTCAAAGTTTGCTTGCAAATTAAATTTTAAATATTTTCTTCAACAAAAATTGAATGAGTTTCCTCCATGTGCTGGTTTTGTAAGGAATGTAAAATAGACAATAACCTAGTCTCTACCCTCAAGAAGTCACCAACTGTTACAGAATGTATATAATAAAATAAGTGAATTTAAAAGTATTTGCCATGATGTGAGATACTGTTGGAGAGAATACAAATAAGACTCCTTTGAAAGAGTTCATGGTTTTCTACTAATGACTATCAAACAGCATTTGCATAGATTATTGTAACCACATCTACACTGAAGTCACAGCAGTGATTTTCAAGTGCAAATTTAATCATTTCACCTCTTTGTTTAACCTAAGGGCTCTGTTTCCCTCAGACTGAAAGTTCAGACTCTAACATGAATTACATAACATTTCCCCATGTCTAGGTTCCCCCACCCATCTCTTATTATTCTAATTTTTTTTCACTTTCCCCCTCTTTATAATATGTGTTCCACATAGCCTGGACCCATTCCCCAAGGCACCATTTTTACATACATGTTGTTCCTTCTGCTTGAGAACTTCTTCTTTTCCCCTTTGCCCACTATTTGTAATTCTCCAGCAGACTACGAACTCCTTGAGGTGAAGGATTCTAGTGCTCTTGTTCACCATCAGCTCATGGAGACCAATGAGTAGATATTTGCCAAAGGAAAGTCACTGGAAATAAATGAAATTGATAAATCATGAGGACGGGCTTGGTAGAAAGGAACTGGCCTGTATATAGATAGATGGAAAGATAGGATAGAAGAAGAAGAAGCCGTCTCAGAATTATCACTACTGACCATGAGAGTGGTAGTTCCCAAAGAGTGGGGCTTTCTCATTAGAGCTTAGTATTATGATTTCAGATCATTTCTAGGATACAAACTGTCACTAAGGAAACAGTACCTGAGACTGTGAGTTTAGTAAAAGTTTATTTGCTGTGGTCCAGCTTTTCTACTCCCTTGCTGGTAGTGTTGTGCGTGTGTGTCTGTGTATGTCTGTGTCTGATAGGCAATAATTATAGTTCTAGGTTAACATTTGTTTAGCACTTCCTATGTGTCTTTTTTTTAATGGTTTATTTATTTTTGAGAGAGAGATAGAGACAGCGTGAGCAGGGAAGGGTCAGAGAGAGAGGGAGACACAGAATCTGAAACAGGCTCCAGGCTCTGAGCTGTCAGCACAGAGCCCGACGCGGGGCTCGAACCCATGAACACGAGATCATGACCTGAGCCAAAGTCGGACGCCCAACCGACTGAGCCACCCAGGTGCCCCCTATGTGTCATTTTTAAAAAGGGTTCTTCCATTCAGTCCTCACACATCCTATGTAGTCAGGTACTATTATTTCCCCCAAATCTTAAGTAAAGTAGAGAACTGAAAAGTAGCTAATTTGCCTGAGGTCTCACAGCTCATGAGTAAGAGAGGCAGACCCTAAGGTGACTTTAAAGCGAGGATAGGCAGGTAAATAAATTGATGAATTACAGCCAAAATAGCAAGGTTATTAAATAAAAAGCTTTCTGTGGAGGGACTGCCAAAATTTTCCCAATTGGAGGATGTTTCTTGACCCTGAAGTTTTAATCCATATGCTGATAATGGCTGTGCTTATGAGTCATAACCTCAGAAGAATAGCAGTAATAGCATATATTGTTTCCTTTTTGTCGTGAATGTATTTTCTGTAAATCCCCATTTTGCCATCTTGATTCCTGGAGCACTTTTGTTCAGTTCACAGGCCATTTGCAGTTTTCCCAGTTTTCAATTTCATATTACTCATTTATTTCATCAGGATTAAATATTTTCCATGAAAATTTTCTAAGATGTGATTCAGTCATCAATTTTTCAGTCTGTATTAGATTTTACTGATTATGGGGCCCACCCTTGACAGTTTTTTTTTAATTCATTATTAATTGGACAAAAGGCCAAAGTGAGACTTTTCCATCAGCTCTTTGAGGATTTCTTTATTGTCCAAAGCTGGACTATTGCAGTTGTCCCCTAACTTCTTTTTGTTTTTTTTTTACCTACTCTGCAAAAAATAATTTAATAAAACTATATACCACCCAATATTGTATGTCAACCATACTTCAATATATTTAAAAAAAAAAAAAAACTATTCACCGCCCTGTACATGTTTAAGTTTGCATCTAAAATTTTTCTTAAGTTCAAATATTTTTAAAAGATATAATACTCAGTATGTTCTAAATATTGATAGTTTATTTTTTTATTTTTTTAAATGTTTTATTTATTTTTGAGAGAGAGATAGAGACAGCGTGAGTAGGGGAGGGTCAGAGAGAGAGGGAGACACAGAATCTGAAGACAGGCTCCAGGCTCTGAGCTAGCTGTCAGCACAGAGCCCAACGTGGGGCTCGAACCCACGAACCTTGAGATCATGACTGGAGCTGAAGTCCGATGCTTAACCGACTGAGCCACCCAGGCACCCCTAAATATTGATAGTTTAAAGTAAAATTGTTATGTCACAGTTCCATGAGAGGGAGATACTTGCTACATGACTTCCAAAGGCCAAAGAAGCCATAAGACTGAGAAAAAAGCCCAACAAGTCCAGCTTGATGAGAAATGGTTTATTAAGGAGACTTAAGTGAGTGTCTTGGGCAGCTGCAAGAGGAGTAGATCTCCTGCAACCCCACATCTCTGTAAGACCTGCTTTTGTAGCCATAGAGGCTGGGGGTACATGGCGAGGGACCACCCAGGAGGAGAACGTTTAAGAATAGATGTGTGTGTCATACATACCCCTATATCCGGGGCAGATCAAGAATGTGATGCCCCTGAGAGTAGACTGAAGGGTGTGGTTAGACAAAAAGAAGGAATGTGGGTGGCGGGCTGTGTGCATGAAGTTTCTGGTCACAGAATGGTCATCTTGGAGGTTTTCTCCAAGATGGTTAGTCTGGTTCACACAATCCCTTTCCAGATATATTCAGTAGGATCAAATATATCCATTAGAATAGTGATTTGATTTGTCATCACCCATTTTAAGTCTTTTATTAGATGGACGTTGTATGTAATTCTTCTTTATCTTTGAATTCGTATTTCCATTTGATTCCCTCCCCAAAATTTACCTAATCTAAAATATCTTATTCTTTTTTTAATGTTTATTTAATTTTGAGAGAGAGAGATTGCACACATGTGAGTGGGGAGGGGCAGAGAGAGAGAGAGAGAGACGGAATCTGAATCAGGCTCCAGGCTCTGAGCTGTGAACCAAGAGCCCAACATGGGGATCAAACCCACACACCGTGAGATTATGACCTGAGCTGAAGTCTAATGCTCAACCAACTGAGCCACCCAGGCTCCCCATAAAATATCTTATTCTTGAAAGTCTTTTATTGATTACTATATTATACTAATCTGTAAAAAAGCATATACACTTATGAATTAAAGTTTTCATTTTTTAATTCCTAAAACTATAAAATTTTTAGTATTAAACACTTTTATTCAGGAATAAATTATTATTATAAATAACATCAGCTTACAATAATACAAGAACATAAATATAATGTAAACTTTGAAAAATAATTATTAAATGAAAGAATTAAAATGCTATTGGAAATTCTTCTCTTAATGAGATGAATGGTTAATATATCCATGTATGACTATTGCTAGAACAATACAGGTACTCCTAGCTTTCCTTTTTGTAGATATGTTGAAAAACCTTGTTCACATAAATCTGTAGGATGTGTTGAAGCTTTATGATAACAATATTATAATTTTTTGTGCCACTTCTAAGTTGTATGTGAAAAATCACTGAGTGATCTAAAATCAACAATTATTTTCAATTATCTCTGCACTGTCAGCTCAATTAGATCCAACTTCAATCTTTGTAAAAAATTGAGAAGCCATCTGAGTTGCAAAAGGATTTTTTTTAATCTAGTCATTATAAACCTACACTTTTCAACATCCCCGTTAATATTTAGAATTATCCCTTATTTGGGGTTCCTACCTCCTCAACAGATCTTATTACCCCAGACAATACACCATAAAGAGTCCCCCTCCCCGACTTTTTTTTTCTTTTTTTCAATAGAAAGTGCAATGGGAAAGACATGAGAAAGAGAGGCTGTACTTCTGTCATAGGTTCAGTCTTGCCTAGATAAATTTTAAGAAGTTGAGGATCTGGACTTTTATTCTGTTAAGTTATGTGTACCTGACTTATCTCTCAGAAAGTTATTGCATTGCTCATTTAGAAAAGGCTCTTCCATTGTGCTTCTGTTTCAGTCCTTCATGCACATATAATTATTTATTATATCTGATACTTCTCCATGCCTTCAGTGAGGAAATAGCGTCACCAAGACACCGTGGTGGGAACAAGGAGGAGAGAGTGCAAACGTCTAGCTATCTTTGCCATTCCCTACAATCCTCAATGTACCACAACAGCAGTTATCAGCCAGAGCTTGCACAGGGTCATTTTAGAACCCAGGCTTTTTCCATATTGTGGTTTGCCTTTCCTTCTAGGCCTTAGAATTCTCTCCATTCATCTGGCCAATTGGAAAAGAACACATACCATCACGTATAAATGTAAACCTGAAACTGCTTTTGAACTATTCCATCCTGAATATGTTTCTTATATCCCAAATCATTGGACATTTATGTGGAATTATTAAAATAATGAGGACTTGTAACTTTACATTTTATTAGACCCCTTTAATTAAACTGTTTAAGGTCCAAGTGCAAGTCGCTTAGATATGACAAGCTCACAAACACTGAAAAGGGCCTGTCGATCCAGCCTTCTGCAACATTTTCATCAGTTCTTAACAGAAATTATAACCTGCAGCAAAACTCAGATTTTTCATATTCAAAAAGTATTTGTAATGCTTGTTCTAACATGTGTGCAGTGATTTTGAGATCAGCAAAGATATCACTAAACAAGTACTTTTTGGGTTGCAAAATGTTTGCTGCCTTAAACAGGGAAAAAGAATATAAAACTGATTTGACAGCCCCAGACATGTTTCTGACAACATATACGTGTCTGATTCACATGAGTGCACAGCAACCCTAGTTTTCTTCAACAGGATCATCAAATAATCTGTGTTAAGCACACATCTGGGCCAAGTGGTTTACAAGGGGTCTCTATTACATTTGTTCTATATTGCTTCCTGAGTGTTCCAATTCATAAGTGAGGGGGGCAGACCTCAGGGAATGAGGCCAGCATGGAGTCTTTCTCCCTTCACTTCTTTTGGGCAGTTGGCTCAGAGTACTTCAGCGGTCTACTTATAATCACAAAGTTCCATAAGATTTGGGATCAAGATGCTTTAATATTCTTGTTTATGATCTACATGATGTCATAAAATTATGTTTATTCAATTTTCAGAAAGCAAAACTGAATTGGGGCGCTTGATTCGATTTCCTAGTAAAATAAATAATTTGGAGACTCAGGCAGGGACACATCAGATGCTCTCAGAAGGTTGACTTAAGAAAGAAAACAAAAGTCACAAACCTCAAACATAGATAAAAGTACATACAGGTATAGAAAAATACGTTAGGTTTTAATGAAAAAATGAGCTTAAAGAGTTACTATGGAAGGTCCTGAAACTTACAGAACATTATGTAACCAGTAAAGGTATACATAAAGTAGTCAGTTGTATAGTTTCAAGTCATATATCAGACCTGGGCTTGAGGCCCAGCTCCTTATAGAAACATGCCATGAACTCAATTTTAATTGACTATAAGTGATAATATCCAACATTTCTGAAATACATACAGATTGATTAAACTCCTCATCGCTTGCCTGAAGTAATATCCTGCCTGGTCTCACGACCTTCCACCGCAGCCTCCACGGACTGAGCGGCAGGGGAGGGAAGATCTCACTAGGGTCCCCTCCGCCACTGTTGGGAGGCTTTCCC